ACCTCTCAGTATCAATTTTTTCATTAAGACTTTCCAGTGTTTCAGGAGTTTTATCTATTATATACCTCCTGCATTCTTAAATATAATCAGTTTATAAGATTACTAACCAGTTCTCCCAAACACCCGCTCCTGTGATTTCCCCCCATGGTGATGTACTCTTACCTTCTTACCTGAAATGCGACCTAAAACAAACACTTTTCTTCCTTAAAGGCAATGTTACACATGTAGTACATCCTGTTTAGAGCATTATCAGGAAGTGCATCTGTACTTTCTAAGATGTACTTATAGCCTCATATAACAATGAACATTTTGCATAAAGTAAATCTCAGATTTGTTTGATACAGTTACAGATGCCAGCACAACTGGAATCAAGAAGAGGAATGCCAAAGGAGAGAGCCAGCTGCATGTGGCTTCCAGAGAAGGAAATCTGCCCCTAGTGAAAGTTCTAATACAGTCTGGAGCAGTTGTGAATCTAAAAGATAATGCAGGTCTGGGTCCTTTTAATTGTTTGTGTTTTTAATTTGAACTCGCTGAAATACTATTTTTCCTTTGCCCCCAATTTTGATACTGGCTGATAATTAACTAACTTTTAATGTATTTTTATACTGTATTTTAATGATTTGTCACTGCTTAAATGTCTTCTTTGAAACAGTTCTTGTAACTGAGAACATTCAGTAGGGAGCACAGAATGGGGAGGGGGGAGTAAAAGGAGTTAGTTGAGCTTTTCATTGGAAGCCTTAATCCCATTCCCTGACTTCGGAAAAAAATGCAAAATGTCCTGGCTTCCTATCCATTCTTCTCTCCCTGCTGCCTTTATACTCCTTCCTTTCCTATTTTTTTCTTATTCTAAACTTGCTTTAAACGTTGATTTTGTGACATTCTGCTTATACATAAAGTAACTTGTGTAAACTGAAGAGGGAAACGCAAAGCTTTACTCATCAGATGGGAGTGGAGCAGTGCGAATCTGAGAAGCTTAGGTCAGACCCTGTGGAACCTGGGTTGCAGAAACAAACTGAAATGGGAGCATTTACTTACCATGTTTCTGATGGTGCTTCTATCAGCTGTAGTTATGAAGAGATTGCTTTTTCCCAAAATGAAGTCTATATGCTTTAAGGCAGTATTTTAATACTAATTCTTGTTCAATACTTGGTACATGTACATACATTTCAATAGAGTTATTGAGTTCACTAACACACGGCCCCCTTAAATAAAGATATTATATGAAGCTCAGTAGGTAAAGAACAGCTTTATTATTTTTTCTTCTTATCTTTTCAGGTTGGACACCCCTTCATGAGGCGTCTAGTGAGGGATTTGGTGATGTAATTACAGAGCTCTTAGAAGCTGGTGCACACGTAAACTGCGAAAGCATGGATGGAACCCTGCCTTTACATGCTGCTGCTGCAGGGAGTCATTTAAAGGTAACTAATGGTGCTTGTCACATTAGGGTCCTCTGTCCTTAGGAGAAATAAGTGGAAAAGATGAAGGTATTTTAAAGTGAGAACTAAAGTAATTGCTTATACTAAAATAATTTTAAAGCCTGCTAAAATTATGAATGAAGATACAATGCTGTGCATAGTTTAGAAAATCAATAAATACTTTAATAAATTCTTTTTCACATGTGTCATGTAGGCCATGACACATTCAATAAATTTTAATTTATTGAATAAGAAAGCATTCAATAAATTTTAATTTTAGTTTTAGTTTTCTAAAGTGATTTCCACAAAGGGTCTAATATTAGTGATGATAAATATGACAGGAACTTAACTGACACTGACCTCAAACTTAGAATGTTTCTGCCTGAACCTCCTGTGTGCCAATAAGCAGCATGAGCCCTCATACCCGCCCCAGGCATTCTTTCCTTTTTATATATAATTTATTCTTTCAAATTTCACTTTATATTCCAACCACAGTCCTCCCTCCTTCCCCTCTTCAACTCCTCATCCCCATCCTGCCCCCCAGTCCACTCCTCCTGATGGGTAAGGACTCCCATGGGGAGTCAGCAAAATCTGGCACAATAAGTTGGGTTAAACCCCTCTCCCATGCATTAAGGCTGAGCATGGCATCCTACCATAGGGAATGGTCTCCAGTAAGCTAACTGATGCACCAGGGATAGATCCTGCTCCTACTGCCAGGGGCCCCTCAAATAGTCCAAGCTTTACAACTGTCTCCCTCCCATATATGAGAGGGGCCTAGTTTGGTCCCCTGGAGTCTCCACAGGTGCTGGTGTAGAGTTCATGAGTTTCTATGAGCTTTGTTCAACTGTCTCTGTGTGTTTCTCCATCATGATCTTGACCTCCCTTGCTCATATATTCCCTCCTCCCTCTCTGAATTCCCAGAGGTTGGCCAAGAATTTTTTTCTAACCTACAAGGTCTCAGTAGTTTTGAGGGAAAGGCATGGATGATTGCTGTTGGAAGTTTGCTGATACTTACTTTGCTCTTCTTTGCCAGGCAGTACAGTAAAAGTATCACAGGACATTTAAAGGCCATTGTTTCAGTGATACACTATTTCAAATATTGACCTTAAAACTCAAGAGATTTGTTTCATCATTTTCTCCTTCATAATTTCTCAGTCCAGGATACTGTTACCGGCTCACAGTGTGCCCTTAGGTCAGAATGGACAGAATGCCCTTAGGACAGAATCCTGCTGTCAGAATGGCACTACTTCTGCCTGAAAAGGAAAATGAGGAGGTCATCTGTTTTCAGTCCTTCTCTCACCCAGTGTCTCCTTCCTGGATCCCACCCCCCCAAAAAAACAAATCAAGGAAACACTAGGAAAAGGTTTTGTTTCTATTTGTTATTATTTCTCTATGTGTATGAGTGTTTTGCCTGCATCTAATGTGTGTGTACCACATCCATGCAGTTCTCTCAGAGGCCAGAGGAGGGCAGCAGATCCCCTGGAACGGGAGCAACAGACAGTTGTTAGCTGCCACATGGTTGCTTGGATTTGTACCTGAATCTTCAGGAGGAGTAGCCAGTGCTTAACCATTGAGTCATCACTCCAGCTCCATAACTCAAAAGTCTAAACAACCCCCTCCTCCTTTTTCTTCTCCTCCCCCTTCCATCTTCCTTTTCTTTTCTTTTTGACAAATCAGAGGAGGAGGAATGTTACTATTACCAAAAGTAAAATAGGGGCTGAGGATATGGCTCAGTCAGAAGACAAACATTCAAATCTGAGTTGGATCCCCAGATCCCACATAAGGAAAAAACTCAATGTCAGGGAAGTGGAAATAGGCGGTTCTCAGGGGCTCACTGACCAGACAGCCTTGCCTAACCGGGAAGCACTGGATTCCAGTGAGAGACCCTGTCTCAAAAACAAGGTACAAGACTTCCAGTGAATGATATCTGAGGATAACCTTGGACTACATAGTCACATGCATTCATGTGCCCTCACATTTACCCACATATATGTGCGTGTGCGTGTACGCAAGCACACATACAGGCAGAACACTGAATAATAAATAAATCTTAAAAAAAGAAGTGAACTAAATGCTGAGTATCATGCCATTGCACATGTGTGTGAATTTATATGAATATGAAAATGTGTGTATGTGATTTCCTATGTCCATCAACAGACATGAGGTCGTTACATATCTCCTTTATTGTAAATGTTGCAATGGGCATGGCAGTGCAGAGACCTCTTTGAAACAGTGGCTTTACTCCATTCATTTATATGCAATGATGGAATTGACATAATAGGTCTTAATTTTTTCAGGAAACTGAATTCTCTGTAATTGCTATTCTAATTTATATGCCCATCAACAATACAGGGATTTTCTTTATTTTCATATTGCTGATACATTGCCTTTTGATATTCTGATAGCAGTGACAGTGTGATAAACAAGTTTGGAAGTGATCTCTTCAATCTTTGGGAGAGTTTGCAAGGGATTGGAATTTATTCTTTTTCAAGAGGTTTTATGGGGCTGGAGAAATGGCTCAGAGTTTAAGAGCACTGTCTGCTCTTCCAGGGGTCCTGAGTTCAATTCCCAGTAATCACATGGTGGTTCACAACCATCTGTTATGAGTTCTGGTGTGCAGATATACATGGAAGCAGAATGTTGTATACATAATAAATAAATAAAAATCTTTAAAAAAGGTTTTATAGGATTAGCAGTGAGGCAGCTGGTGTTAAGCTTTGTTTTAAGTCAACAGTTTTAATCATTAATTTAATATCTTTTTACTTTGTCAGGTTTTTGAGGATTTTTTATTTTCATGAACAGATTTTGGTGTATTATGTCTCTTGTAATCAACCTACTTCTTCAACTTATCCAATTTACATATAAGTGGACGTAGTAGTTTCTTATGGCCATTTTATTTCTGTGGTCTCAATTGTATTATCTCATTTTGCATTTCTTTTTGCTATCTATTTTGATGCAAAACACAGCTTTCACTCCAGGGAAACAGTTTATTCAGAATCAAATATGCATGACAGTGCAACAGAAGAATGAATTCAGTTTGCCACAAATAACTTGTTCCATTATGGAAGTAGTTGCACGAATTCGTATAGTCACAGAATAAAATCAGAAATCAAAGCATTTACCAAATATAATGCTGGGGACATCAGAATGGGGGGTTGTAACTAACTGGGGTTTAAAAGTTATCTGATGATATTCTCAGCCTTGGGGCTGGTAGAAATTAGTGGTCAGCTAATCATACATTCCAAATGTTTTACCATACTGTCAAAAATATGTGAGGTCGATGTGTGATATATTTATAAAACACACGTGTAAGTTTCCTGTGCAACACAATGCAATGTACAATGAATATATGCAGTGAGAAGGGGATGTTATCTGGGAAACAGGTGAGTAGTAAATTTAAAGAACTGAAGTTAGACCAATACAGTTTTGTGTCTGGATCTGCAGAATTCTCATTCTCCAAGACCAGGAAATTCCAGTCAGTCTATTAGCCTTACACAGTCTTCAACATAGGCATGACTTCTTTTCTAGGAACTTCACCTTATATGTACTTTAGCTTACCAGTTTTGTTAGTCTTAAAAAGAAAAAAAACCAGTTTTTTGCTGAACATTTTTTGTTGGTTTTCTCATCTCTGTTTTACTTGTCTTCTGGGGTGTTTTGTTATGTTTCTGTTGTTGTTGTTCTTATTTCTTATAATTTGGGAATTGGTTTGTTATTTTATTTCTAGTTCCTTGATATGTAAACTTAGTTTATTTAAGCTACTTTCTTTTCAACATAGATGTTTATTGCTGTATTCTTTCCTTTTTAAGTCTGTTTTTACTGTGTTTCTCAATTTTTGGTATTTTTTTTTCATTTTTCTCATGTTGCATTAATTTCCCTATTAATATTTTTGCACATTAGTTATTCAGAAAGTTACCATTTAATTTTTACATATTGTATACTTTTTTCCTTTTTTCCCTTTGATAAAAGATCTCACTATTTAGCCTTGACTGACCTTGAACTTACAGAAATCGGCCTGCCTCTGCTCCTCAGCACTGGGATTAAGAGTGTGCACCACTGTTTCTGGCCTTCATTTTTTTTTCTGTTATTGACTTAACAGTTTCATATTGTGGTTGAAAATAATAGTTGAGTTGATAAAAGAATTTCTCAGTCTTAAATTTCTTAGTTTTGTGGTCTAACATATTATCTTTTCTGGAGAATGTTTTTATGTTTTAGGTAAAGATGTATTTTGCTACTTTGAGCTAAATGTTTTATTTATTATTGGCCTATTAGACCAATTTGTTAAAAGATATAGTTCAGGTTTGCTGTTGCTTGCTCATTTTATGTCTACACGATCTGTTCATTAAATTTATTTATTTGTTATTTCAAATGTTAATATAGCTACTCTTGTCATCTTTTACTTTCCATTTTCAGGAATACTTTTGCCATCTCTTCGCTTTTAGCCCATGATATAAAGGTTTGAAATTAAAATGAGTGTTTTTTTTTAACTATTTTACCACTCTATATCTTTTGTTGGATAATTTGTTCTATTTGCACTTAAGTCGGTGATTGATAAGTAAGATCTTATAAGTATTGACATTCTGGTTTTTGTTTTGGTAATTTGTAACTGTTTTTTTGTTTTTTATTTTTATTTTTTATTAGTTCAAATTAGGAACAAGCTTGCTATACATGTCAGTCCTTTATTCCTCTCCCTCCCCTCCCTCC